CCTCGTGATCCACCCGTCTCGGCCTCCCAAAGTGCTGGGATTACAGGCTTGAGCCACTGCGCCCGGCCAATTTATTGATTTTTAAAAATTTGTCCAGCCTTCTATCACCACGTTAAATCCATTAGCTGCAACCATCCCATGAGAAGCTGGGTGGATTCAGCCCCACCGCCTGCTCAGACTCTGTCCGAGCACCTCAGTTGTCCCAACAGCATCACTGCGGGACCCCCAGGACGTTGGACTGGTAGCTCCCTGGGTCTCCTTCTCTCTGGGGCAGATCCTCAGTCCTCCCTTGACTTCACAACTGTGGCCAGATCATGTGCGGACTGTCCCTCACTTTGGGTCTCCAGAGCACTTGCATCAAACACCTCTAACTCAGAAGTGTGCAGCCACACTGGGACTCAGAACCCGAGAACAGGGACAGAAGACTTATGCCCTTGGGGTGCCCGGTCTCGCGGCATTGGGCATGACTTCCAGCTCCTGCGCCTTTCCCAGCAGCTGCTGACTGGGGACCCGGACCAGGGGCTGAGCGACCGGCCCGGCGAGCGAAGCTCGGGGTCTCACTCAGGCACCAGCTCCTCCTTGCCCCGGGCCCTTGGCACAGGTAAGTGCTCATTAAGGGACTGCTGCTGCTCAGCCACGGAGACAGCTGGCCTGCCAGGCTTGAGTGACTCACAGGTCTGTCACGTCCCGCTGGCCCGGGAAGGCGGGGTCTGGGTGGGAAGGTGGGCGGGCAGGTCAGCAGTTCCCAGGCCTGGTGCTCGCCCTCCTTGTCAGCGGCGGGGCGGAGACGGGGCGGGCCTGCCTGTCGGCAAGGGTGGGGCGTCCGGCCCGGTCAGGTCCTTCCTGGCTGGGTGGCTCAGGAACACGGCCTCTTCCTCTTTTTTTTCCCCTGCTAGCCCTATTCAGGCAGGAGCTGCTCTTCTGGGGTATCGCGATCCACTTAAGGATGAGGCAGACTTGGTGACAAGCTGGTCTGAGCAGGTATGGGAGCCCCCTGGGGAGACGGAATAAGGGAGGAAGTTGCCTTCTGCCTGGAGAGGGCTTGGGAGGGAGAGGGAAGCCTAGGGCTCCAACCAAGGCTGATGTTGACTGCCAGGGTTTGGGGCTGAAGCCAGGAACAGTCGCTCTCTCTGGTTCTTACTGGTAGCCCTCATGGGGGTCCCTGACGCCAGAGCCTCTAAGGCTGCCTGTGCCAGCCCAGGGCTGCCCACATGCCCACGTATATCCCAGAATAGGCACCAGGGCAGGGAACTCAAACTAGCGTGAGTGACAGAGCAGGTGGTCAGGGAGAAACAGACATCAAACCCAGCCAGGAGAGAGACACCACAACAGAGAGACAGAGAAGGGAAACCAGAGACGAGAGGGAAAGTGAGACAGAGACAGGCAGAGCCTCAGAGAGGCAGGAAGTGAGCCCGAAGGGAAGGTGACAGATTGACGGAGAAAAGCAGGCAGACAAAGCAGAGGAACTCATGCCTCGGGATGCAAAAGCCACATGGACAGGGCTTGGAGCAAGGGGCTGAGCCCTGCAAGGTCAGGTGAGTGTGAGACAAAGATAAAAGGGGGGGGGGCTCCAGCTGGTGAGATAAACACAAAGGGCTCCCCAGTGGTGGCAGGGGCATGTGAAAGAGTCCCCATCACAGGTTGCAACGGGGATGATTTGGCCATATCTGAGATCTTTTTAAATACACACGCCCTTGTACCCAGCAATTCACTGCCAGGAGTTTATCTTAAAGAGAACGTCTCACAAGTGGGGAGACAGAGATGAACGAAGATGTTCCTGTAGTTACTAATGCAGGTGAAAAGCACTGGGGTTTCTTGGAACAACATGGTGAAACCTCATCTCTCCAAACAAATTTTAAAAATTAGCTTGGTGGCCGGGTGTGGTGGCTCACACCTGTAATTCCAGCACTTTGGGAGGCTGAGGTGGGAGGATCACTTGAGGTCAGGAGTTCGAGACCAGCCTGGCCAACATGGCGAAACCTGTCTCTACTAAAAGTACAAAAATTAGCCGGGTGTGGTGGCGTGCGCCTATAATCCTAGCCACTCGGGAGGCTGAGGCAGGAGAATCACTTGAACCTAGGAGACGGAGGTTGCAGTGAGCTGAGATTGAGCCACTGAACTCCAGCGTGGGAGATAGAGTGAGACTGCATCTCAAAAAAAGAAAAAAAAAATTAGCTTGGTGTGGCAGCATGTACCTGTAGTCCCAGCTACTCAGAAGGCTGAGGTGAGAGCATCACTTGAGCCTGAAAGGTGGAGGTTGCAGTGAGCTGAGATCACATCACTGCCCTCCAGCCTGAGCAACAGAATGAGACTATCTAAAAAAAAAAAAAAAAAA